AAATAAACACAATTAAATTAATATGATGGGAAAATGATCTATATGGTTTTAAGAATCCAATCTGTAATAACGGGGTACTCCACCTTCAACTGTGGACTACATACCACACTAGTTTTATCGAACAAACTCAGTGTTTACCATGACCTACAGTCCAAGCAGGGGTTCATTAGTGGGTCACCAAACTCAGGTCGATGAATCAAGGGGTCGCAATCCCAGTCTGTGGATTACAGGTCCTCCCCTAGAGACAAGTCAAGGTCACCACGACCTGATGCGACCATAGCTCTATGGTGCATAGGAGCATCTCTCGCACATACATACGTTTCACTCAAAGGTGGATATCTGGCTTTCCTGAACGATCTATCAATATACATACCATGTGATGGAACATGGATGAGGTTTTGGCCCCCGTCTCAATAGGCCACCATCACACCAAGGGTCACACAGTCTCTCGGCTCACTCATCCAGGCATGTTCTCCGACCTCATCAAGGGCTAACCCATAAACCCTCATTAGTTTATTCTTCATGCCCAGGCAATATGGGTTTTTCCTAATCGATTAGCCTAGATCGTTAAGCATAGATCGGTATCAGCAAACCATCGTTTGCTTAGTATGGTCCACGAGGGACCACACTCCCACTGAGTTCATGTTTCACTATATCATTACATTTTACAAGCACTCATAAGTCCTTTAAAGACCACATAAACCCAACAACCACTTCTTAGAACAAAAGGTTGTTTTGGCTCTATCACCAACCAACATTCTACTATATCTCACAAACAGTGGGTTGCAAGTTTCAATTCCTTTCTGTACCGAATAAGCTCTATCATGACTGTTGAAGCTCTTTATTCTCATTCCATCCCTTTTCTCAACCATGATTCTTTTGTAAAACCTCCTTCCAAAGTTGTTGACAATGGGAAGCTAAAAGCCACCATCATTTAGTGATCACGACCTCATTCATTGGCTTTAACTTCCTTATTTCAAGATCCCCAAATAACTCCTAAAATCTTAAAAATATAAATAAAATTCCAGTATCCCTAAAAAAATTAAAAACAATAAAAAAATAAATCCTAAAATTAAAAAGTAGAATTTAAATTAAATAAAAATAATTTTGTCTTTCATCAACAACTCCCTCCTCATAAGGGGTTCTTCATCATACTTTCTAGCCGTTTAATGATCACATCAGGAGCTCTAGAGAGGGACATAAGAATATGGTAAGGTCGAAAATTTGATCAATGTAATTCGGCCTTCCAAAGATAAATATTTTGCTTTCCATAAGTCGAGTTTCTTTTGTAACTGTTAAGTAACATATCACACAATGCTGTATTCACCTGTGCATCAACAATAGGCAGTTCAAAATACTTGCTAGGGAGTGATTCAACCTCGCACTCCAACCATGTAGCCATTCCATTGAGTTCCAAATGCTTGCACGCAATTTCAATTAACTTGGTTTTCTTCATGTTAATTTTTTGCCCCCATACCTCTTCATAGCACTGTAAAATAGCCACAAGTTTTTAGCTTGATACATGGTGCACCATGGAAAATCATAATGTCATGTGCACACTGAAGGTTGTAGGTCTTGGGTTCATTAGGAGACTTCAATACCTTTAACCCCTTTGTCATTCACCCAATTTAACATTAAACTAAAGGATTAAGCAAAAATTGTAAACAAGGAGGTAAGGGGTCTCCTTGCCTCAATCCTTCAGCTCCATTGAATTATCACAGACTTCCCACTGATTAAGACTGAAAAATGCATAAAAGACAAACAACCATTTATCCAATTCCTTCGTCTCGACAGACAACCATTTATCCGATTCCTTCGTCTTTCATCGAAGCTCATTAACTTCTCCATATCAAAGAAATAACTTCAATCCATCCTATCATACGTCGTTTCAAAATCAAGGTCAAGATATTACCAACTTTAGGCTGTGGCTTTCTAGAGCAAATACTTGCAGATAATACCAACTTTTTTTTATAATTTTATAAAGGCATATTTGTTTTTATATGAGACCTCTAAGGGCGTTTCCCAACTTGCTTGACTTCCTCTGGTCGATCTTATTCCTTTTAGACGCGTTCCATTTTGGACCTTGCTTTCAAAATGTCCACTTTTATTGTCCCTGGCCATACATCTCCAACACTCATTCAGTACTTTAATCAGTGTATGTTAAAGCTCCTTTGATGCGCATGCACAATTCATTCTATATGTTATTTCCATGTGATTTTGTGATTTTTTCATATATGGTGTAGTTTCTATAAAGCCCATGCTTTATAAAAATAAAATAAAGCCTCACCTCTAATGCTTGTCAAGGAAGCACTTTGGGCATCGGAAATCTCTATATGGCTCTAAAATAGATTTCCAACGCTGATTTTAGGGCGAAATGGATGGTCTTATCTAGACACTATGCATGTTTTTTAGAGATTTAAATCCTAAATTTTTTCACAACTGTAATCGTCAAGGCCAAGATGATTGTTTTGAAGGTTTGCCGATGCCAATAAAGTTTGTTGAGCTTTGGTGTGCAGTTTATATAGTGCCTAGGCTCTAAACAATCAAACTAAAGCGCACCTTTTAACAGTGTCGAGAAATGTGGTTTCAATACTGTAAATCTTTGTGATAGTCTTAAAATATATTTTCATCTTTAATATAAAGTTTAAAGCTTCAAAAATAATGTAGATCGAGCAGATCTATGAAAACTTGAAAAACTTGAAAATTGACAGTCCAAACATACGTTTCAAGATGCACCATTTCTATAACTTGAAATCTATTTTTTTCTCGTATCCATCTTGATGTCGAGATGATCAATTTGAGGGTATTTGGATATCAAAACAGTGAAATTTTTGAAGTCGGCTCTAATTTGATAGTTTAGAGCCTCAGATCCATATAAACTTTTTCCTTTATGTAAAGCCACCATAGTGCTTGTCCAGGTGCTTTTCCCTCATGGACATGTGGGACTTGTGGAGCCGTCGTTAGTCCATACGGGAAAGAGAAAATCCAAATGGGTTGGCATTGCGGCCACATGATGTGAAATGTACACACGTGCCTTTTAATGGTTCAGATGAATGAACCATATCCCATACTTAAAAAAGATATGACAATTAATGGAATTGGTTGGACAAAATTTCTTTTAAAATAAGAAATAGGAATTAAAAAGTTCCATATCTTATAATAAAGTCACCAAATCTTGTTCAATTGTCGAAAATACCACCCCAACTTGTAAAAGATTAATTTTAACTTAAATATAGGCACGAATCGATAGTCCAATTGGTCTTTATTATACTTAAAAGTTAGAACAATTGTTTCATGTTGTACAATATACTGTCCAGAAGTATAAAGCATCCATTTTAAATATTGATGCAAATAGGTAGTCCATTTAAAAATAATTTTAACCAACAGTCCAATTTTTTTTAATATATTTATTATTTTTAGTTTTTAAATTTATTTATTTATTTTTATATTCATGATCTCTACGTTAAAGATTATATATTCTCTTAAAATTAAGATTAAATTATATTTAAAAATATATTTATTGCCAAGCTTGCAATTCTACATGTGCAGGCTTGGCCACATGATAACCGCGTCCTTATACTTAATACTTTCGAATACAAAGTTTTTTTCACACATGCGTATCTTTTATCGCCCTCCAATCAATGTCAACCGTGAATTATCAAAAGCGGACGGTGGAAGCTCTTCGATCACCGTATTGGATTGTGACATATTTTCTCAAAATGTTTAATATATCTTCGAGATAAAAGTAAACTCTTCATATTATGGCATCTAGAACTGTAGACATTAGAAAGAAAGACGTAAAATATTCATATTTGGCTTTTAAAGGTGATAAAAGTACTAACAATATAAAAAAAGAAATTTATATAGTTTTCTTCTGAATAGATCAACGGTAAGCAGCGTTGCAAAGCCAACCGCTAAAATTAGCCCCTTCTTGGATAAGTCGGTGGTAAGAATGAAAGTTACGACGCAGCGTTGCAAACATCAACGGCTAAAATTAAGCTGTTCGTTAGATAAGTCACTAGTAAGAATGGAAACAAGGATGTAGCATTGCAAACATCAACGGTTAGAATTAAGCAGTAAGAATGGAAACTAGGATGTACCATTGCAAACATCGACGGCTAAAATTAAGCCCTTCTTTGAATAAGTCAGTTTAGTAAGAATGGAACCTAGGATCAACGGCTAAAACTAATCCCAAGACCTATTCGTAAGATCTTTATATCGGTGGATTAACAAATGGGATTGTCAATCAACCGGTATAAACATCTTAGGAATGGGTGCGGTTTGTATAGAGCCGAACAATCAAAATAAAGCGCACCTTCAAATAGTAGTATCGAGAAATGTGATTTCAATATTGAAAATCTTTATGATAGTCTTAAAGTATATTTTCATCTTTAATTATTAAATTTAAATCTTACAAAATAGTTTAAATCGAGCAGCTCTGTGAAAACTTGAAAATCTTGGAACTTGACTATTAAAAAATGCACTACAAGATGCACTATTTTCAAAACTTGAAATCTATTTTTTTCTCATGTCCATTCATCTTGATGTCGAGATGATCAATTTGAAGATATTTGAGCATAAAAAAACTTCCAACGAATTTTTTGAGGTGGGCTCTAATTTGATTATTTAGAACCTTGACGTTATATAAATTTTTTTTTTTTATTTTGTACATAAAGGTGACAATCATTCTCATTCATTAATTTTCAATTTAAATGGTTTGAGATAAGTCACGAAACATTCGAAAACTTATTTTTGGAGACTTTATACCTATTCAATAACACTCTTACAATCATCCATTTTAAAATTTAAATGATGAAAATGATTGAGACGTCGTGCAACGAAGATAAAGAGCGAGCGTCTTTATGAACAATGCCTAAACAAATTCCCCAAATTTAACTTGGGGCTCATCTGCTATTTCCTTTAAACCTAAGGTCTTTCTCATTATCACTATCGAAACGCAAACTTTACACGAACACTTGATCGATAAATAGCCACTCTGCCTCCCCGCCACAACTAGCCTCCTCCACCCTCTTTCTCTCTCTAAAATCCGCTCTCGAAAGAGAGTGTGTTTTAGCAATGGGGGCGAGTCCCAGAGACATAGACGACCTGCCAAAGAATGGAGCAAATTACATGCCCTTGACGCCCCTCTGGTTCCTTGATCGTGCGGCTCAGGTTTATCCTGAGAGGAAATCCCTTATCCACGGCTCTGTTCACTACACATGGCAGCAAACAAACGAGAGATGCAGACGCATGGCTTCAGCTCTCTTGAACCACTCGATCGGTCCTGGAAAAACTGTAAGTTAATTTATCTCGTTCTTTAAAATTTATGGATGTTTTATCCATTTTATGTATTTTTGTTATATTTGTTTTATTTAATTAGTTAGGGATTCAATGTGCTGGTTGTTTCCTGATTGTATTTGGCTCGATATTGAATGCCAGAAAGAGGCAAAAAAGATGATTTGCCTCTATCTGTCATTCAATATCGAGAATCATGGTATTTTGTTTAATTTTTTAATATATATTGATGGTGAAAGTACTAAAACAGGACTAATTTAGGAATAGATTTTTCTCTCCCTCTCTCTCTGTACTCTTTTTTTCTTCTTATGAATCAGTTTTTTCGATGGAAAACTGAGGAGATCTTGAAGCAAATGGCAGTTGATTTTTTTCTTTAAACATGTCTCATCTATCATGATTTCCTCTAAATTTTTAGAGAAATTATTTCTTTCTTCAAAGTGAAAATTAATTGCACACGAACCGGAAAAGAATTCATTTATTTGCGATGAATTTTTTTTGCAAATATAGTAGTCATAGGTTTTCAGCGGATAAGTTTTTGGTCCGAGAGAAATGGAGTTCGTTGAAATTCATGAACGGTCAAGATTCTCCCCACTAGCAGGTGTCCTCGTAATCCGGCCTTGATGCAAAAAAAAAAAAAAGGTTTATATACATACCAAGCTCTAGAGCCTACCTCAAAAATTTCACTAGAGGTTCTTTTGACGTCCAAGCTCTAGAGCCTACCTCAAAAATTTCACTAGAGGTTCTTTTGACGTCCAAATGTCCTTCAAATTGATCATCTCACTATCAAGATGTATATACATGAAAAAAAAATGGATTTCAAGTTTTGAAAATAAAGTATCTTAAAATGACCATCATATTTTTTTAGATTTTTAAGTTTTTATAGATCTCCGACTGTTTTTGAAGCTTTAAATTTTTTAATTAAAGATAAAAATATATTTTAAAGCTATCACAAATATTTTCAATATTAAAACCGTATTTTTTGATAATATTTGACGGTACGTTTTAGTTTGGATTATTTAGAAGCTCGGCTCTATACAAACCACACCCAACAAATAAAACCTCTCAAAAGCTATTGAAGATTTTGAGTATAGGGCTTGGGGTTGTGATCGTAGTAATATGCCTCACGGCCATGGAAAATTGTTTCATGCGGGCTAGACTGCATTGCTACATTATGCAGTCTCAAGGTATAAGGCATTCATATTAAAGATGGGTGGTCTATTTAAAAACAATTGAAACTAATGTTTAAATGTTTTTTTCATAAAATTAATATTTTTATTTTTATATTCATGATCTTCGTGTTAAAGATTACATGTGCTTAAAAATTGGGTCAAAAAATCCATCTCAAAAATAGATTTTTAAGAGTGGACTTTTTTCTACATGGACTTATAGAAACCGTGTCGAAATCATAACTCTTAATTCAATTTTCACCACTGAATATGAAATTTAAAGTTAAAAAAATGGACCAAATTATTTGAAGTTTAAAAAATGAACCAAATTTCACATAATGAAATTTAAAGTTAAAAAAAATGTCCTTAAAAAATTTTACGTTTTTTAAATCGTAGGGTTTGTGCTTATGTACCAAAAAGAAAGGGGCACGGTTTGGTTGTCTTGGTTCGTTTTTTGAATTTTAAATTTCAGGTGGTGAAAATTGAAAATTGAATTAAGAGTTATGATTTTTCCCAAGGGTGTTTATTTGAATGAAATTTCAAAATGAGGTTTTCCCGGAAGTCAACTCTTTTTAAATATAAAAGGCATTTGAACTTTGAAATTATCAAACGTGCTCTAGAACTTCTAAAACGCCTTTAGAGACTAATGGTAAAACTGAGGTTATTGGAATTGAATAATATTGTACTTTGTCTAGCTGCTATGGGTATTTCCGGTATTATCTTGTTTACACACGTTCGTGAGAGGTGCATGGTTGTTCAGTCGGTAAGCATGCTCGAATAGAAAGCGTGATTAGGATATAGAATGCTACCACCACTACACCAGCCCAATTCGAAAACAAATGCTAAAAGATGTTCTCAATTTTGAAGTTACAAAAAAAAGCCGCATTTGAAGCTCTAAAACAATAAATAAATAAATATATATATATATATATATAAACTATTATCTAGACCACCTGTTTTCAAGTGGATTTCTTTTAATTTTTTGAACTTCAAAATCTCATATTTAGTGGTGGAAATTGATTTAGGACACATTGAAGAGACTTCGCAGGAAGTTTTTTGGGATGAAAATTTAAAGCCCGAGCCCTGCATAAACTGTAACTTTAAAAAATGGGAGCAAGCTCTTGCTAAATATTTCGCTGAAAATCATTTGAACTTTGAAATGATCAAGTTGCTCCTACCTTTCCTGAATTACCAGATTGCGCCTCTAGGTTGCAATGGTAAAACCGATATCATTGGAATTGAATAATATTGTACTTTGTCCAGCTGCTTGGGGTATTTAAGAAATTCTTTTGTTTACCTTTCTTACCGCCACACGGGCACATGGTTGATTCCAAAATACAAGCCGAAAGCTGTCCTACTCCCATAGGAGCATACTGTTTATATGCTCCCGGGAGTAAAATTCCATTATGTAACCTCTTTCAATCCCTAGATTAGCCTCAATGAAAACAAAACAAGAAAAATTCTTTGAAACCTTTATACTTTAAACAATAATGTATCAATATTGAATACAGGCTATCTAATTTTTAAAAGGTGAGATCTACAAGAAATTCAAAATTCAAATTTTTTCTTTTGAAAATAATAAATCTAGCCATTCTTAGAGGGCTACACAGTTAAATTACTCTACGCTTCGTTATAGAATCTAATTTTTAAAAGGGGAGATCTACAAGAAATTCAAAATTTTTCTTTGGAAAATAATAAATCTAGCCATGCTTAAAGGGCTCCACAATCAAGTGTACTCTACACTCCCATGTATAGAATATGCGGGAATGTAGCGTACATTTAAGGGAAAATATCTCCATACTTTTTATTTTTATGTTTCATTTCATAATAGACCCGTGGTTTTAAAATGTAACTTGGGATATAAAATTTATAGATTTTATTTATTCTGAACTCTTGAGCTAATTAAAATCTTTTTTAGGCCAAACGAATCTAAAAAGACATGTCTTTTCTAAAAGTCATCTTCAAACTTCTAGAAAGAGATGGGCTTGATGGAGGTAAGAAGTTATTAGGAAGAGAGATAGGTGTTCGAAGAAACATGGGAGGCAAGAGAACGAGAAAGACACGTGAAGAGAGAAAAAAAGCGTAGTTTGAGATAAATAAGTGAGGAGAGAGAAAATAGTGGGTTTAAAAATAACATATTTTTTTCACATTTATTTAAATTAAAAAATAGATTTAAAGTGACCAGATTAGAATCTTGAGTTTATTAAAAATTAAAACTTAAAAATAAAAAATACTCCCTATATGTGATCGTGGAGCCCCTTAAGAATGGCCTTTCTTGAGGAATAGCTCTTTTCATCGTTGGTGACCATTTTGGGCGGCCTCTAATATCTTTCCAAGTATGGACAAATAAAAACCTCAGTTATTCTTCCAATGCCAAGTACATCCCTGCTACTTATTTCCTCTTTTTATTTGGATACAATGACGAAAATGCCCATGTGTTGGCGAGCGGGGGCCGGGGGCAGTCCCTGTATGAGGCATTATCGTCCTTTTTAAATGGCGAGAAAAGAGCTCCCGTTCCTCAAAAGTGGCATTTTTGTTTTTATTTATTGTTTAATTTATTATTACTAAATTCTCGAGGAGGGTCAGTAATCTACGTTACTCCAATTTTATAAGGGAAAAGTTTATATATAGCCCAGGTTTTTTTTTTAACCAATTTATATAGAGCCAAGGTTTTAAACAATCAAATTTGAGCCTATCTGAAAAATTTCACTAGAAGAGGTTGTTTTGATGCTCAAATATCTTCAAATTGATAATCTCGACATCAAGATGTATGGACATGAGGAAAAAATGGATTGTAAGTTTTAAAAATAGTGTATTTTGTAAAGTATTTTTGCACCGTCAATTTTCAAGTTTTCATAAATATGTCAATCTATAATATTTTTGAAGCTTTAAACTTTATAAATAAATATGAAAATATATTTTAAAGCTATCACAAAGATTTTTAATATTAAAATCATATTTCTCAACACTATTTGAAGGTAGGCTTTAGAGCCCAGGTTCTATACAAACCGCACCCATTTTATAATTGATATTTGCAACCTGTAACCCACGAGGGTGGCATGAACAGTTTCATGTTCGTCAGCAAGAGAGAGAGTCCTCTTATTGTCAAATTAGGCGAGAGATAACTTTTACTAACTAATCAGGGAGAGTTTTCTTATGGACCTGGTTTCTATGCGGCCAAGCCCGCATGTGTGCAAATGCCTATGCGGCCAAGCCCGCATATGTACAAATGTGGGCCTCTTAATAGATCTACTTTTAGATGGATTTTAGTAGTTAATTTTTTAAGAACATGTATTATCTAATATGGATATCATGAATATGCATAAATAAATAAATTTTAAAAAGTAAAAATAACAATTCTACTAAGAAAACGTTTGGACCGTTTCCATTGTTTTTATATAGAACATCATCCATCTTTAAGATGGATGCTTTACACGGATCGCATAGGTAGAAATGCAGTCCAGCCCACATGAAACAATTTTCCTTTTCTAATTGTCAATGAGAGAGAGATTTTTTATACCAAAAGATAGTGAGTATACTGTCTATTTACTCCATTGGGTAAAACTCTTCTTAGAATTTTTTTTATTTTTATTTTTCAAATTAAAGCTCTTTTTAGAATTTTTTTTTTATTTTCAAATTAAAACTCTTCTTTATTTTTATTTTTTTCAAATTTTGCAGATATAACATTTTTATCACATAGAATAACTTTAATAAAAAAAAAATCCTAAAAATTATACCCTCTAAGCACTTAAAAAAAATAGTCTTTCATGATTGAATGGAAGCCCTCCAATTTTTTGAGGTTGAGATTTAAGTGTTAAAAAACTCAAATTTCAA